GGAAAGAAACAGCAACTAATTGGAAATGATTTATTCAATTCAGTAATGATAATAGCGATGTCACCAGCAAGAATTATATGAAAGATACGAATTTAATTATTTATGCACGTAATATAAATTACAAGAATATGTAGAAATAAATAAAGTATACTTTGTTGCTATTGTCAATATTATGTGAACATATTCATAGTTGCTTTGTCGAGACCTCATCACACGTCAACAGAACTTTTCTTTTATCAGATTTTACAGGACAGGATGCTCACTTTCTAGTATAATCTCATCGTAATTTAATTGCTCTTGATTTACTTGCTGTTCTTGTTGTTGTTGTTGTAACTGTTGCTCTTGTTGTAGCTGCTGCACCTGTTGTTGCTGGTGATGCTGCTGCAAAATATATAAAGAAACAATGCATCATTCAATTATACAATATTTTCACTTATGAAATCTTTCTATTTAAAAATTTCTCAACCGTATTAAGAATCAAAGAAGCTGCTTCCATCTTCCGAATTATTCGACATTTTGCCATAATATTAACCCAGTATTCGGTCAAGTTGTAATATAGAACTGCTGGACATCATTAGATTGAAAATGCAGATCACAAACGTAGTTTTATTTTAAATCTGTTGACAGTCATTCTCTTCACATACTATTACCATATTTAAATTATTTTCGAAACTTTCTATTTACCATTTATAAAAACAAATTGTAATAATTATTGACTTGACTTCTAGTTTTTAGATTAGTATATCTCCCCGCTCCCCAAAATATATACTAAACTCAGTATAAATAAAATAAAATTGGTTATTTGCTTACTTCACTCGTATTTATGAAGCTACATTCATTTGGGTCATATGGAACACTAGCGCCACCCCAACTTCTGCCATTTCTTGGACAAACTTTGTCAATTTTCCCGTATGAGTTTGTGCTCCTTATCTAGTCTCCATGATTCATATTCATATCATGGAGACTAGTCTCCATGATTCATATGTTAGATTAGATTTCATTCTACGTTAGTACTATATTTTCTATGGTAATAAATAATATTAGTCTGAAGGTTAGGTTAGAAGGTGAACTTGTTTGTTTAATGTTATAATCAATGATTAAACAATGGTAGTATTATATATATGAAACAATGACAACAATGTTTTATTTTAACTTTTAATTGAACTTTGTATTTTGGAATTTTAACTCGTAGGATTTCCTCACGAGAAAAGTAACTGCCTTTTAACATAAAAATTAAAGGTCTATCTGAGAATGAGTGAAGGACGAAGATATTTTGAAACCTTAAACTTAATTGGATCATTTGCATTAGTTTTTTCTATTCCATGGATAGTTTTTAGAGTCTTTAGGACAATTTATTTGAAAGCAAATTTTAATAAATTGTCTGGAAAAGTGAGTATCGGATTATTATATTTATAACCACTTAGGTTTGAGAACACAGATATAAGTTAATATTTTGATTTCTCTTGATTGTACAGTATTTAAATAAGTCAATATTTTTACTTTAATAGAAGTTAATTTAGGATATAACAAACACCAGCAGTATAGCTGAATACTTTTAAATATATTTCAAATACTTATTTGTAAAATGTCGTGAGACCTTTTGTAATTGTAAAGAACTCTTTATCATTGTCTAATATTTAAAGTGAATTTTACAATCTATTTGTATCGCTGAAAATAATTTATAAATATTACAACTAATAATCATCTACAATTGTTGATTTATTGAAATTGAAAAATCATTTTAAAATGAATTACAGAATAATAATTAGAATTTCTTCTGAATATAGATAGCAATTTATTAATTAATTTCCAGGTTGTTGTTATAACAGGGGCAAGTTCTGGTTTGGGAGAAGCTCTTGCACATGAATTTTATAAACAAGGTTGTCGAGTAGTTTTGTGTGCAAGGAGAAGACAAGAACTAGAAAGGGTACGAAATGACCTTTTACATACCCATTGTCTAGTGCCAACACATCAACCCATCATTGTACCATTAGACTTATGTGATATTAAAAGCTTAACATCTCATGTTAATAAAATAATTTCGATAGCTGGTCAAGCAGATATTTTAGTGAATAATGGTGGTATATCACACAGAGGTACTGTTCTTTCTACTGATCTCGAAGTAGATGAAACAATTATGAAAGTAAATTACTTTGGATCAGCTGCTTTAACAAAAGGTAATAATTGAAAGTTTTTATCTATGTATTTTCTTAAGTACTTCCAGTTATACTGGAAGTAGCCGTCAACATTAAAAATTTGAGAAAAATTATGAAAAAACCAACTGAAATCATTTTATTAATTGTTTTGTTTTTGTTGCAAAATACCAAATCATAGAAATACTGTTAATAATTCTGATTCATGATGAATGTTCCATGGATATAAAATAAAATCAATATATCTGAGAAATTTGAAACGGTAGCCCGTATAATATATTGGTGAAAAGACAATTTGATTTTCTATAATATGGTGCAAAGAAATATAAGGTGTACCATTTGATTTTAAAAAATGTTGTCGGTTTTAAGTTTTCAAAATGTAAAAAATGGGACACTTAGTATAATTTTCTTCAGGCGATTTTGATAATAGAAGATCTTATGTTCTTTGCGTATTCCGAAAAGCAAGTGTAAACTTCCAGAAGGAAGAAAGATACAAAGAATTTTCCAAATACTTTCATCTGTCAAAATTTTTATAAAATGTCGATTATCTTGAAAATTTAAAATAACGAAATTGACGGCTACTTCTGGTATAACCAGAAGTGCTAGGTTGATGGCATCATTTTCATTGAAGAGAGCATATCTGATAATCTCCGTAAACAAATTTTCAGAGTCAAATTATCTTTGGTTTCTCCGAAACGTTTAATAAGCCACTTACCGTGAAGAACCCTGTATACAGGGTGTTTCAGACCACTCGTCCACCCCTTCTGAAATTTAGGGTATCTAATAAAATGAAAAATTCCATACCTCCTAATTGTGAATAGACTATGCCGGATCAATTGGAGGTATTTTCAACTTCCGGCTCCCACCGGAAGTGGCCTATTCAGACCAGAAGTATTTTTTTTTTTAAATTGAATGACATACTTTTTGTAGATCTCGATTCTACGCCGAAAACTAAGAACCTTTTGTAAAATAATTTTTCCACTAAATTGTCGTTTTCCACCCCAAAATGCCTTCCGAAATGTAAGTGTTTCCTGAGAAGTAACACAACGAAATGAAGCATAGTACTGTACTACCAGGTAACCTTCGGCTTCGGGAGGTGCACTTTCAGATAAAGTCGAAAATCATTAATTTAACAAATTTTTACAGTGGAGACAAACTCGTTAATGTACATATTTATGTTACCTAGTGGTATAGCACTACGCTTCATTTCTTTGTCACTTCTCAGGGAAACACGACGATTTAGAAAAAAAATATTTTTACAAGCTTAGTTCAATTTAAAAAAAAACTAATGTCTGGTCTGAAGAGACCACTTACGGTGGGAGTTGGAAGTTGAAAATACCTCTAATCGATCTGGCATAGTCCATTCACTATTAAGAGATATATTTTATTCTATTAGATACCCTAGATTTTAGAAGGGGTGGATGGGTGGTCTGAAACCCCTGTATATGTATACAGGGTGTTTCAGTTCGAGTTAATCAAAATTTAACTACAAATGGAACTCAATAAATAATTCAGAATTGTATTGGTCGGTTTTTAAAATTATATTATTTATGAAATCTTTGTTATGCTTATAATAAATTGATTCAAATTTGGTGTAGTGTTAACATTTACACATGTGCATAATTTACTGTAAAATTTACAAAGGACCCCGCACAAACCTTATGGGAAATTCCATTCGGTCAATTTTAATGAAACTTTGGGAATAGTTTGTTTTTGTTATGAGAAACAAGCCTTCATGGACCCAAAGTTCGCTAATGGACAGTTTCCGAGATATTCGATGTTAAAAGTTAATAATACAAATGCGTCAATGATCTAATAATCATTTGGGAACCATTTTTAGATTCTGTGGACAATTCTACATAAAACGGCATACTTGTTGAAAATCGGTATAGTGTACCGTTTTACCAAAAAACTCAGTCGAATGGGAGACCATTCTTCTGATTTAAGAATTTTAGTTTCTTAAAGATAGGAAAAATATTTTAAATTAATATTATAATGTTATGTATTAACTTAGAATTCAAAACAATGTTTTTTTTTAAATCTAACCAAAATTTTTACATTTGCTATAAATTATTACCCTTGTTTATTTTTTACTACAACTCACATTGATCACAAACCTGTAGAAAATTAAGTAAACTATAATGAAGTTAAAAATGTCTTATTAATTCAAATACCTAATAAATTGAAAGAAACTTATTTTTATTCATAGTTATCTAATAATTTTTTTTTTATTTATTCATTAACCAGTTAAGTGGAGTATTCAACTTATATGGATATATTTTGAATATTTACTTATTATTATTTTATTATATGTATAAAAAAACAGCCATTGTTTTTTTTTTTTCTATTTTAGCCGTCTTACCTTCTATGATAAAAAGACGACAGGGACACATAGTATTTATAAGTTCCGTTCAGGGTTTGGTCGCTCTACCCGAGAGGTCAGCATACAGTGCATCCAAACATGCTTTACAAGCATTCAGCGATAGCTTGCGTGCCGAAGTAGCTTGTAACAATATATTCGTTACAGTTGTTAGTCCAAGTTACATTAAAACTAAGTTATCCCTAAATGCTTTGACAGGTTCTGGTGAAACGTATGGACAAATGGATGCTACAACAGAAGCAGGATATAGTCCAGAATTTGTGGCAGAAAAGATTGTCAAAGCAGTAGTTGAAAAGAAAAAAGAAATAATTATTTCAACGTTATTACCAAAATTAGCAATATTTTTAAGAAAGTATTTGCCTTGTTTGTATTTTTTGATAATGGCACACAGAGGTAAAAAATCTTCAAAATCGGATGGTAAATAAAAATCAGTGTAAAATAAAATTTTGTTTTTATTTATATGCTTAACAACACAGTTTTCAGATAACTGATAACTAAAGTCTCTAGATTGACCAACTAGCCTAACCAAATGTTTCTGTGTGCCCCAAAAATAATATTTGTGGTTTTTAAACTTAAATTTCAAGGTTGGCAACAGAGATTTTGCCCTAGAATAGCAATTGATTTTGGTACTTTATCAATCTAAAGACTTTCTGATAACAAGGGTGATTCATAAATAAAACATTTTTAAAAAATAAAATTAAAGGACACGGTACAACCTATCATAATAACACAATGGTGACGAAAAGTTAAAAATTTGTAATAAACGAACAAAACATTGATTTATACAAATATACACCTTGTAAATTTTGATTACAACTTATTTCCATAATGTAAACAATTCAGTAATATGTATCTTTACAGTGTATACTGTTGAGACTTGTTTGTTTTATGAGATAGTGTTCATAACTTTCTCATGCTTGATCATATATGTAGGTACATCATAACTTCCAGAAGTTATCTCTGAAGATGAACATTGGCTAATTACCCAACTTATGCTGAATTGATACATAAATCTGTCGACCAGGAGAAATATCCCAGAATTTCACAATTAAGTGGTTCAGAAATTGGATAAGTGCATTTAATTCCTAATGTTATTTCTAAGAAAAAAAATGCCACTTCCACTATTCCGAAACTTATTTTTAAATTATTTAATTACATTTTTTTTTTAATTTAGCTTAATACACAGTAGGTACAATGAATGAAAAAATATTTTACCAAATCTTAAATCAGATAATAAAATATCCCACAAACTTTTTCTATCTTGTTCCAGTTTTTTTTATTGAAATGAATTTTACTTAAAATAATTCAGCTGTGCAGAATTCATTCTGAATTAAAAAAAATTAAAAAAATCCAAAAATCTTAGTGACTGCCTCACCAGCCATTAGTCGACATAATGCACCTTTTCTTTGCTTATAACAAGATTAATAGCCTAAATAATTTATGCCAAACATCTTCAGAGGCATTTGAATAAATATAATTTATATCCTCAACTTCATGTAATTTGAAACTGTTTTCTTTTTAATTTCGATAACTGGTGATTTTAGACCCTAAATTCACCGAGGTTTTGGTCCAAAAAAGATAAAAAAAAAAACTCCTGAAACTATGACGTGGACTTGGCAAACACTACATGACCAAGTTTTATGCAACTTATTTTTACAAGAGAAATTTGTACACACATTTTTAAGAAAATAATATAGCAACAACTTACAACAGAAAATTGTAAATAGGCAATATTTTGATTTTTGTTTTAATAATGCCAGAATGCCACAGCTTAACTAGCTCAATGACTCCGCTATTTGAGACTAATATTTGGTGAAATGGCTAATGATCAAAATTAATGTGAATTTTTTCAGTTCAAATAAGTGTAAAGTATTAAAATGAAAAAATTTTCCATATTTGTAAAGGTCCGAGGATTACTCTATAATAACAAAATATATCTGATATTTGAGCACATTGACTATTAATATTGTTAATTAAAAGATCACGTTTCTCAAGTTATACATTTTTTCAAATACTACTTCCCTTGTACCCAGGATATTAGCCGCGGAGAGCATCAAGGCCGCCAAAACTTGAAATAGCTTCAATTATTTATTGTTTTATTTTGTTAGAATAAAATTAAGATTTTTTTTATATGAATAAATTCAGTAATATATTGCGAAAGTCCGGTCTTCGAGTAAAAAGCGAAAATATTCAATGAAAAATAATTGGGTAAAAATATGACATTTCAGTAATTTTGTTCATATTAAAAGCGTGGATTTTTAATAAATAAAAAATGAAATTCTGCGATTTTTTTGCACTAATAAAAAATCAGAGGCCCGGCCTTGACGGTCTCCACGGTGGTGGTGCAAGACTGATAAAAAAATGCCTAAGGATTTTTCTTCTCAGATTTCCACACTCTTTTTACCCCTATGTGCCTGTTGACTAATTTTGGGACACACTGCATATAAAAATTATCCTATACTCTAATTTGATTTTTTTTCAAATGCTACGTACTAATACTACCAACTTGAGATTATCTGACAGAACTTTCTTAGAAATAAATCTAAACCCTTTCCAAAACATAAATAAGTTTGATAACAGTATTAGACAAAATAATTTAAAATTATTTTTTAGCAACAAATAGTTTATTTCACAATTTGGCATCAGTAAATAATAAAGTGCCTTATATATCTTTATATTGAGAGAAGTATTATTTAGTTGTCGTCCCTTTTTAATATTCAACTCTATTCGCTTAAAAAAAATTGCACAATATGTGTATGATAATTTGTTTATTAAGTCATACCTAGCTTGAGTCAAACTACAGAGAAATCGATGCACACATTGAAACATTGACAATGTCTTTATTTAAAGTATCCAAGTATCATAGAATTCACACGTAATTCTATTATAAATGCCCATAAAATGCGGCTATCTAACATTATTGCATATTCTACGTTGCACTTGATGGGATCGTTTATTTTATTGTACAATATAATCTATATATGCACAATGCTGCTGCGGTTATCGATACAGTGCAGTGTAATATTTTCCGCCTTGTATCATCTTTGCGGACTAAGACTACTGGAGACGCAGCTGTAAGTGCCCCTAATACTGGTAGTCTTGCTAATTTACGGGGGTCTCTTTCAACCTAAAAGATATTTGCTACTTAAATGATCCGACATTTTTTTAACATTTGTGAAGTCAAAATAAATAGTAAATTTCCATTTCATGTTTCTTTAATTCTTCGGTGTAATATTTCTATATTGAATTTTGGTAAAAAAGAACTGACCTGATATTTCACACAGTGATCAAATTGCCAAGAAGCAGTATATAGCCCCGTGCATAAAACAGAAAATATACTTAGAGGGGCCTGGGGTGTAAAATTTTCTGGCCATATAAATCCTACAAAAGATGACAAAAATAGACTGTTAAAAATTGAATCAATACAACTTGTTAAATGTAATGTAACAGTTAAACATTTTAAATTGGTTGGTGTGAGAAAATACTTGGAAAACAGAGAACTGTCCCCGGTTCATTTTGGATGGGGCTACCTCACCAGCCACGTTACATTTGGCAAGTTGTACATTAAGATTGTTTACATAATGTAATATATATCCCATTACGATTTTTTTTCTTTCTTACCCATCCCATAGCTTTATTAAACAAAGGAAGCAACCACATACTGGTAAACATTTATAAACGTGGTTAAATGATTAAATGACAATTTAATTTCTCTTGAATGGGACCAGAAATTTAAAACACACCTGACACAATTGAAGCAACACCTGAAATAACAGCAGTTTTATGTAAATAATTTCCAAAGCTGATCCAACGTGCAGTTTCATCTCCAAGTTGACTTGGTTCTATAATAATATATGAGCAACAACTGTCTAAGGCTTTTTCTAATTCCATGGAAAAACAGTGCTGAGAATATTCGCTGTCGTATACTTCACGAATTACAGCTATATTGGTTGAATGAAGCGCTCTACAATGAGAATAGTTATTATTGTCTATATGAATAAAAATATTACCTATCCCCTCCAGCATCCATTATAATTACTTTTACTGAATAAATTCAAATTATCGAAGCTATTTACAAATATTCACATTTACAAATGTGACAAATGATTTCAACCTAAGTAAGGTTATATTATTTTACATTATGGCTTTTATCTTGTAATATAATAAACTGGAAGATGAGCTGAAATGAAATTAAATTTGTTCTTCGATTACATAATAGTTAAGCAAATGATAATTTTAGATCCCATTTCAAAATTGCTATACAACAATACAACTTCTTTGATCCCTCTGCTCTTTTTTTTACACAAATCAAAATCCGGAAGCACTTCGATACTACTTCATTTCTTTCGGGTTTACTCCAAAGTAACCCTGAGCTGGTTTCGAGTGCAAAGTGCAAAAATCAAGCTCTTAAATAGTACATGTATTTTTTGTTTTAGATTTAGAACGTATTTGCCCACAACAAAATCATCTCGTTTTGATTCTGAAAATTAAGTTTCAATTCATTACTTTTATTTGTTGACCATTTGTTTATTTATAATGACTGTATAAATATGATTTTTGATACCGAAATAATGTAAATTACATGGAGGAGGAATAAATAGATTCTTTTGTCGTAGTTTCAACTGCGCAAGCCTCCTAAGCGTCAAACACAAGGTCATTAAAGTTATGTGTGAGGCAGAGATAACTCTATATCTCTGGTTTGAGGCAAGGATTTGAGGCATACTTACACCACAGCTAATTAAGCTGTGCTTACACCTCTTTCACACGGACGTTGTTTTGCCGGTCGGTAGCCGACCGTCAGATCTGACGACGACGTTTCTGTGTGTAAAGCTCTATTTAACTATGTGTAATTTAAAATTTTAGTCTTTGTTTTGCCGATCGTTTTAAATACCGATCGGCAAAATAACGTCCGTGTGAAAGAGGCGTTAGAGCATAAACTACTGGAGAGTGGAGGCAGCGCAAGGATTTTATACAATGTATATATATGTATCTTATATCATACTTGTATAAAATCCTTGGGCCTTTCCGACCCTGTATGCTATCGATTGCATGTTGCTAGAGAGAGATAGCATATCCCCCCTATACATCTCTGTCTCTAAACCCCCACTACACTCTCGGCCACTGAGACTCTATTACTTCTATTATATATTTTGTGACTGAGACCCACATACTTCTATAGATAGAAGTATGTGCTGAGACCCTAGATAAATGATACTAACTGAGACTGTCTAGTCTCCCTGACTGAGACGCTGCCTCCAGTAAGTCCAGTCTTAAGTATATATTCTAGGGTCCAGTACAGATACAATGTCCAGTAGTACTTCACTTTTCACACATCTATCACTTTTTGGTCCATTTATTGTCCTCTCTTGTAACTCAATCCGCGGACATGCTGTGTATAAATATTATTTTTTATGATATACAAAGAATTAATAATATTCCCAATGAGAAATAGATTTTAGATTAGATACAATAAAGATCAGGATTCACTAACCAGAATAGCTTTCTATAAATATATTACATGTTATGTTTTTTTTCCAAAATTAAGGTTTTTCCTATTTGGAACTTTTAATGCCAATAACATCCAGTCTCTAATTATTTTATTATTTTTTGCAAAGAAATCTAATAAAAATGTTACTTTGTGTCTCAATTTATTTGTTTCATGAACGGTTTTATTTTTGCAATTAAATATTTTATCATAATTAATAAAAAAAATGGAAATCTTAATTGTTTCTGTACAGAAAAAATAAGAGTTCGTTGATTTTTAAATTTTATACAATAACGGTGATACATCTATGAAAGTAATATAATTTTTTAATTTTTTATGTCTGTCTAAATTAATGTTTAATTTTTTTTTTCATATATCGCTGCTATGAGGAATATAATTTTATAATTTACCTTTTCACGAAGATTTGATATGACTGAGAACCAACGAATTATTTAAAATCCAATGAGAAAATAACCATTAATTTAAAACTACCTCCACGTTTATGCAGTACATGTAGACAAAAATAGATGCCAGCATAGATAGCAAAAATATTGATAGATTTGTCTGTCTATAGTATTCGTGGTCTGTGCTTTCGTGATTTTAAAAGTGAGAGTGTAGGTTTCTATTACAGGAATATAGTGTAGATTGAAATAAGTATAATACTTCAGTCAGTTCAGACAATGAATATAGTTTCTTCAAAGAAAGTCTAGGGGGCTCTGATGTCTATGAGATATTAAACAACTTGGAGGGAGGTGCGGCGCTAATGTGCCCACGTGAATCTATGTTGCTGTTTACGTGCTGTGGTGTGTGGTGGTGTATTTATTTACTGCATGACTGTGGGTTAGTTAAGTCTGAGCGGTTTATATTTTGTTTTATTACGAATCGAACATTACGTGAGATTTTACATGCGTTTGTTTGTAAAAGTGATGTTAACATGATTTTTTGAAGCATAACATCAGTGATTACTGTGTGCGGTGGTATACCTACCATGGCAGAGATTTGTAAGTTTAAATTAGGCTTGTTTTTTGAAGAGGACGGTTAAGTGTTTAAAAGTTTTTCTTTGAGTGAAGTGCAACATGTCACAGTGCAAGAAATTTACGCCAAATATATTTCATAAAACGAAATGTTCTAATTGCTTTCGACAGAAAGAGGAACACTCTGCTGAAGCCCTGGAATGTAACCGGGTGAGTTCCGCTATACACACATTCCTATATACACGCACAGCTCTGCTGTAACGTGGTCAAAATATTATAGTCTTATCAATTCAAATAGACGTAAATTTCTCACTCATTGTCACCAAGTGTGTAAGTAAATGTATCTTATAAGAATTTCCTGTTTATTATTGATCACTGTAAGGTAGGCACATACAGGGTGTATCGGAAACATCGGAAATAAAAAGTGAAATATTTACGTAGGATTCGTAGGAAGCGATTCTGCTCCTAATGCTACAAGCTACAAATATAAGGACAGTCTTTCATGTCTAGATCAAATACATAGAACAGACATCAACGTGTGTACTCTTGCGGGAGTTGTGTCGCCGGCACTTGTATTTTATGTAGCGATACTGTTTTGATAGAACTCTAACCAGCACACTCACCTGTGTGTAGACACGTTTTAAAAATAATAGTACAACTTCGTACGACACTTTTTGGGAAACACAATATTAATGGATTTACGTGTGGTTATTTTTTGATTACTTAATCGTAATACTATGCCGTATTTGTTTTCTCAGTTAAGCTATTTTTTTCAATTTGGTATGTATTACTCGTAGCAAATTGCGCCACCAAAAGTGTAGTATTTTAAATGTTTTTTTATTTTTTACAAAATTATTTCTTAAAATTAATCTTAGATTCCTTCAAAGTGTGCTTATCCATATAAACAATGTCAAATGAAAGGAAAATACAAAATCCATTATTGTGAAGTTGTTTAATAACAAATTACACTTGTAGAGGTAAAGATCAAGTTCATGTCTCATCCATATCTCGTATAATATACTCCTCGTATATTTATACCTAGGTACCTATTTGCCAAAAATAAACTGTTCTTTTCTCATATACCTACCATTAGGTAATAAGTATTTTCACAGGGCTTAGTCGATACGAAATTGACATTTTTTCGCTTTTAACGCCGAAAATGCTATGTCAAATGTAAATTTGTACGATTTTCTTAGTATAATCCGATGTTAAAACAACTAACTAAATTTGCATGAACCTACTGAAAAATATTTAAAACACAAAGTGATAATATAATTCACAATAAAAGTGTAATTTTCACGAGTATTTTCATCTATTGTATCTAAATATACTACAACTATACCATTATAGTCGCATTTTCATATGAAAGATTTATATCTACCTACTGCTATGTATTATAAAAGGATTTTTTTTACATCTTCGTCGTTGCCTAATAGTGTTCTATTTTACTTGTAGTTTTCATTTTAATGCTAATTATTTTTCATAACTAAAATGTATATGTCTATACATGAGAGTACTTCTAGGTATATTTCTTAACTAAAGTTTTGCTGTTTTTTAAAATAGAATATAGTAAAAACAAATTTTATTTTAAAGTTGATCATTTTTAAAATCTTTGGCTAAATAATACAGCAAAATGTTTTTCCAGATAAAAAGCTGATTATCTATTCAAAAGAAATAGGTCCAATTTATTGTCAAAACTCACTAGATGTTTTAAAGTTTTCCAGTAAAATAAACGTATAATATAAACGTAGTCACCATTGCATAACGAAACGAATAAATTACACACAAATCGTTGAATGTCAACAATTTATTATACTCATGATAGTAGATAAGTACTACCCTTACAATTTATATTGCTTTTATTTGTTGTTCATATGTTGCATAAAATTTGTTTACTTTACCACTAAAATTCGTTTTGTAGGATTTAAGAATAATTGTTGGCCGTGTTGTTGAACCAATAGATATAAATACATAGGTCAACAAATTAAACCTTAAAATAAGTTGGCCAATTTATTGGTCATATTTAAGGATACATACCAACTTTTAGAATAAAAATTAATTATGGAATCTGCAGTTCACAATCCTTAATAGAGTTGTAAATATGTTATTTTGTATTACTTATTGCCAGACTGATATGCCATAATAAACCAATGCCTTCCATATTTGTGCAATGCATAGGGCATCTAATGAGTAATATAATCTGTAATTACTACTTCCTAACAACATCTGGACTTTGTACACCACTATGCCTCAGCGGTGTGTGTCCAGTCTAGTGTTCCTCCTTAAAACCAGGTCTATTGTGTTCAATTTCTTGGACAATTTATTGAAGCTAAGTGCACAATTTTTATATTACATGACTAAATGTATGTACTGTTATAACTCGACCAATTTCTTGATAAATTTGGTTGGCTAAAAATTGGCTGTACCTCTTGGTACATGTATTACAAAAATTATGGTTATTTTTCTAGCTTCAATAGACCGGGGCTGGCCAAGAAATCGGAAACCATAGAAATGATTCTACTTAATTATTTATTGCCTCTATTAGTGAATTTTAATATTTATCTAATACTTACCAAGGAAATTACCAATTTTAGTTGCATGGGTACGTGCTGGAATTTAAACATTTATTATTTTGAATATTTTTATCTAAATATTTTAATAGCTTACATATTACGTGTTTTATTATTGAACTTTCGTTAGTCTAGTGTAAGTTATAAACTTTATCCTCTTATAAACTTTATCCTCGAGTATATCTTAATTTGTAATTTGCCATTATCATTATTGTTTTTTCTCTAAAAGTTAGTAAAGTAAATAATAACAAATTGGAAAATTTATTCATATAAGTATTATATAAAAATTGTTGAATGTAAATCCTATTTTTAAAAAAATGTTGTCAGACAATAAAGTCTAAAAGTGATCATGAGTGTTCATAAAAGAAGACGGAAAAAATAACCGCGGGCAAGCGTAACTAAGTAATTAATCTTTTAGTTGTTTTGTTGTGTGAACCCAAAATTGCTATCGAGGGGCAAACAGAACTGCTGTGGTATGGTGTTGTACAGTATCCATGCATTGTACAAGTATTACATGGCATTGTGGGGGAATTTTTAAGGCATTAACAGACATTAATAGACATAACAGTTTATTGCACCCTTATTTACTAAGTTATCGGGACGCCATTGTCGGCAGTAAGTAGTATTTAAAATCATCAACAGTGCTGACATATTACCAATGATTGAAGTCTGTTCTCGACCAGTAGAAATCGTTATGACTCAGCAGTTTCAAAGTCGTACAAAAAAGTATGACCATATATGACGAGGCGGACTGGTTCACTGGTGGAGTTTAGTTTAAATTAAAATAATTGTTTACAGAGACGGTATAGCAGCTGTATTAAGGATTTTGTAGTCCTTGGGTAACAAAGTGGGAATACAAGTGGGATTAAAAAATATTTTTAACAAGCTTATAATAATTAAGAGTATACTGAGAAATATATCCTGATATCTCACTCACCTGATATCCAAATATTTTGAAACTTTGGTGGTGAATACAGACTGTTACAAATTCGCTTATCACTACAGGGATCTCGGAAACGGTAAGAGGTACGAAATAGCTTTAATGGGGTCAAAGTTGCGTAACCAGGAGACCAACATTATGCCCCTAAAAATCAAGGCTAATATGATTAGTTTTCGAAATATTTGAAAAAAACGAAATTTTGGAAATCCGCTTTTGCTTAATTTCAGCCTTGTTTGAGGTGATACTGAAAAAAGAAGAACACTCTCGTGACCTCTTTTTGCCCTTTATCGAATGGCATAATCAGTTTTTATATGTAACGTTTTGTCTCTCCAGGACCATCATCAACTTCATTTTTTTAAATACGCTCGAAAAATTCATCTTCAATGTATTCGTTCCAAATTTATCTAATTTATTATTTAGATTTATTTGTTTACTAAATTATCGTACACTGTAAGTGTCTTTAGACCCTGTGAAATCCATCTAGTTATATAAACTATTACCACCAGGTGTTAAAATAAAACATTAGAGTTTTATTCCCGTGGCCATAGTTATTTCTAGGCTTGTGGAGTGCTCAAAATTCTATTTTTTTCAGGATATTCATACAAATACATCTGACATGCTCTTTCACAGTTGCGGTTACAGATATAATAAATTCAGATAATACGCTGATTTTCATTTTTAACTTTTGTCAAAACGAAAATGTTTTTGAACATTTACTGAAATTTTTTAAAGAATAATATTCAGTTGGCGTTTTTGTTGTTCATATGCATTTTTAAGAATTAATTTGTCATAATAAAATTAAAATTGTAATAATGTTTTAATTTTGACGCACTTATTGAGTTATGTATGACCAAGTGATGGTAATAGTTAATAATAATAAATGTTTTATTGTAACGCGTGGTGGTAATAGCTTAACTAACTAAATGGATTTCACAGGGTCTAACAACACTTACAGTGTACGATAATTCAATAAACAAAGAAATTTAAATAAAAAATTTGGATAAATTTGGAACAAATACACCGAGGACGAATTTTTCGACAAAAAACGTCTGAATCTGGTTCGGGCTGAGGTAGTATAGTATTAGGGGTCATGAAAGCTTGCAAAAAATGTAATACAATTTCTAGGGTCGTATTTAAAAAAAAATGAAGTTGATGATGGTTCTGGAGAGACGAAACGTTACATACAAAAATTGATTATGTCAGCCTCATACAAAGCTGAAATGAAACAAAAACGGATTTACAAAATTTCGTTTTTTTTTCAAATATTCCGAAAACTAATCATGTTTAGCCTTGATTTGTTAGAGGCATAATATTGGTCCCCTGATTACGCAACTTTGCCCCCATTTAAGTTACTTCGTAGCTCTTATCGTTTCCGAGATCCCTGTAGTGAGAAGCGAATTTATAACAGCCTGTATATACCTAAAAGTGAGTCTTTATACGTAACCATATTTGATTGTCCGAGTCAGAAGTGTCCGATTCTGAGATTGCACCTATTTTGTAAAACCTATAATAATGAAACTGTATTTAGGGTTCTGAGGTGTGATCAAATCGAAAAAAAAATGTCTAATATGTTTTTTAATTGTTGTAAGTAGGCCATTTTGAGTACTAAGTATCACATAAAAAACAAATTTTGGAAATCGGCCAACACCATTCTAAATGTGGAGGTGTTCCGACTTTAAGTGAAACATACTGTATAAATA